CCCCCCGGTCAGAAGGTCTTCAAGAGAGCCCTGAGGTCAGTTCTTCACACTCACACACACAAATCTCACTGGTTGTGTGCAGAGGTGGTTTCCTGGGTTTTTATTGTTTGTGTTTGGAAGAGGGATCAACACTATTTCAGGATTTGGAGAGGTAGCAGCCCAAACACCGTCATTATTTTTCCAAACACTTCTTTGCAGAACCCAGTGAATCTCACAGAACCCTCATACCCTAACAAAAGTATACCAAGCTTGAGAAACAGCACGCCCTTTGAATCAGGGTGGGAAAGTCAAAGAATGGCCATTTCATAAGCAATAAGGTAGTTCTATCTAAATCCCATCATTGATTTCTTACTGAAACATGGCAAGCTTGGGGTCTGATTGGACTAAGTATGAATTGCTAAATCAGAAGATTAAAGGGAAGGCATCTCAACTAGTTCCATTGCTCTATTAACCAACATTTGTAAAAAAAAAACAAACAAACAACAACAACCCCACAACCCATACATTTATTTGCTATAAAGAACTCTCAATCCACACAGAGAATAAAGCACAAAAATGGGTTTGGTTCAGTGGTCTTTTCAGAAAATGCCCTTGACCTGGGAGTTTCTGGGAAAAGTATGTTCTTGATTTTCACAGGGACCGTTCTTGGCTCAGAATGGGGAGGATCAACACGAGCCTCACTCAGCTCATTGCCATTGAGTTTGCTGACTCCCAGCAACCTGGTAGTACAGAGGACTGCTTACAGGGGTTTCTGCAACTCTAAATCTTAATGACAGCACACAGCCTCATCATGGTATTTTGGAGTATCTGAAGGGTTTGGGCTGCCTACCTTGAGATGATGAGCCCCAAGCTTAGCTCACTGTACCACCAAGGTTCCTTGAATGGAGTAATACTAGGTGAAAATTCTGATTTGATCTGAATTTTTCATAAGTAGGCTAATCTATGTATTCAGCGAATACCTATTTATTAAATACCCAATGTGTATCAGACATTGTGGAAGAAATTTAGCAGATGATGATGAACAAAACAGGTGTGTTTTGTCTGCCTACAGCTCACAGTTAAGAGAGGAGACAGACAGCAAATGAGTGAAGATGCATATCATTACAAATAATGGTAAATACTATGAAGGAAGCAAGCGAGGTGAAATGACAACTTCTGTACCTCGCTGGTCATTTGAATGGTCATTTGAACCGCATTCAAGTGCCCTCATGTGAATTTGGCTCCCGTCTTTCGAAGATGCTCAGTGCTGAGAAATGAGGTTTTCCCAATGCAATTTTGCATGACCAAGCAATGAAGAAATACTTTTTTCCTCCTCTTGTTGGCTTCTGATTTCCTGGAAAGCCACTTTTGAAGGTTTTGTTTGTTTTTAAGAGGCCTGGCTCAGAGAGCTGAGGAAACTCCTTTGTCTTGAGGGCTACTGTTGAGTAAGC